AGTAGTGTAATTAAAAGTTAAAGCGCAAATTTGGATGGGAACAAATGGACCATAGGTCTAATCTTAGCCCTGCCATTTCCTGGCTGTGTGACTTTAGCTAAAGGACTTGCCTTCTCTGAACTTTAGTCTCTCATCTTCAGGCTGCTCTAACAGAGGCACCTTAATGCCCGGTGGACAGTAGCTTTTCTGCCATGGCTTCTGCCCCCGAAGATGTCTGGGTTCACTTGACAGCAAAGCTGTCCTCAGCTCTGAAGATTTCACAAGCAAGCTAACGGTAAGGCAGACGCTGCATCTGTGTGTCCTCGTGCTCGTGAAGATACAGTCCTTCATCCGTCAGCAACTGGGACATTTGTCATCTTTCTATGGCTGGAGAAACTGAGACCTGGAGGTGCTGCTTCCTGCTAAAGATGCCACAGCTGGTATCTGCATCTGTGACAGAGTCCCCGAGACTGGGGAAAGGTGTGGCTGTTCCCGTCCTGAAGTCAGGACAGCTGCACCCAATCCACACAAGATTGGGGCTCACGGAGGGAAGTGCAGGGAGGTCATCAGACCCCAACCCACTCGCCTGCCTCCTGTGCCCCCACAGCTGCATGTGGTCCTGGAAGGAGCTGGCATGTGTGTGTGTGTGTGTGTGTGTGTGTGTGTGTGTGTGTGTGTGTGTGTGTGTGTGTATGTGTATATATATATATACACACATAGGTGCTGGAAGGTCCCCTGAAGGGAGGACGCCGGGGTAGCTGCTTCTGTGATTCCCACCCTTGCTGGGCTGGGCTTTTTGGTATTTGTAGCTGCCTTGGAATCACTCAAGGTCCCTGGAAAATAACCCCAATAAACTCACTGGTTTACATAACAAGCAACCAGCCATCTAGGAAGCTGGAGGCAGCTCTCAGCAGGCACAGATCCGCCAGCTCCCTGACCTTGGACTTCCCAGCCTTCTTCACACTGGTGAAAGTTAGATGCTTGTGAGGCAAGAGGCAGGCCAGACCCTGTGCTTTGTAGCAGCTAACAGAGGCCAGGCGTCTCTATGTATGAAAACCCGGCAGGGACGATCACTCATCAGAGTCGCAACGATCCGTGTGGATCCGTCTTACGGGGTTTGAGAACTGTCCTAAGACAACAGCAGCTACTCGGTGTCAGTCGCCACTTCAAGGTGTCGCTCTCTGCCGTGGTGGTTTAGGTCGAAGGAGAAAGTCCCCTGAGGGACTGTAAAGGCAGGGGTCATGGGGTGTGCTATTAGGGGGTGCGGTGGGGCCTTTAAGAGGTGGAGCCTAGTGGGAGGTCTTTAGGTCCTTAACGTGTGCACTGCATGAGGAGGAGCAAAGTCTGAGTAGAGCATAGCTCTCCACTGTATTTCTTCAGGCAGGGTCTCCTCGCTGAACCCAGAGCAAGCTGACTCCCACTAGTCTAGACAGGTAAGTTGCCCAGAGATTCCCTGTCTCGGCCTCCCAGGTACTGGGATTCCAGGTGACTGCTAAGCCTATCCAGTCTTTACGTGGGGTCTAGGAATCTAAACACTGGACCTCAGGCTTGCCGGACCAACACTTGATCCTCGAAGGATTCCACCCGGTCCTCTCTGCCATGCTTGAGAAGTCAATCACTCCCACCGACCCATGCAGCCACCACTGCCATCCGTGATACTTGGTGATGAGGTCAAAGGTGGCCACCGAGCCAGGCTTTCCATGCGTGCTCTCAGCCTCCAAGACCGTGAGCCACAGAAACCTTTTTTTTTTTCTCTCTCTTTATCAAGTCATCTGCCTGGGGTGTGTTCTTAGAGGAATGCAAAGCCGCCAAATACACTGCAAAGCAATTTTCCGTTGGGTCTGTTTTATATCTCCGATAACGGATACTGAGAAACATGTATTGTTCATTACACCATCCAGAGCCTAGGGTCCCCACATGGGAGGAAGTTGGAGGCGGGGTGGGGGGGGACGGGACGGGACAGACCACTCTTACCTTTCAGGTGGGATATTGTCCGTGTTGCTACTGTGGCGCCTCTGCATTTTCCTTAGCACCTGAAAGCCGACACACGTGTGAGCCATGTTTCCCCTGACACGCCCCTTACCTGTTGCCATGGTAACTGTAAATAAGTCTCACTCTTCTGTTACATGGTCAGGGCTCTCTGACAACTTCCAAACCACATTTCTATCATTTCTGCCACGCAATCCTGGGTGTTACATCCCACAGGAGAGCGTTATTACCCCATCTCACAGGGAGGCGCCTGAGAGTCACAGGTGGAGCGGCTTCTTATGCAAACGGGGAAAATGACCAATGGGGCTGCCGACAGCCACTACACGGGGTGCAGTGAGCAGCAGACACCATCCTTTCACTTGCTGTGTGGCCTCAGACAAATCAGTAAACCTCTCTGTGCCCTCCCACTCCCCATTGGTCCCACGGGAGGGAATGGAACGGTCAACCTGGAAGTCTCCCTTCCCTCTCACACATTTAGTAGGTGAAGGTGTGACTTCCCACGGAGACACATCACCTGGTGCGCCGCAAGGAGCCACATGGACTTCAGAACTCCATGTTGACGAAATGGGCCGTGGACATTCAGGGTTCCTGATGCGACGTGGTCACGGGATCCCAGACAGAGCAGGCCGGCTCCTCTTCCTCTTCAGAGGGAAGTGCAAGGCAGGGGCTCCTCCAGGACATCAGACCTTGGATGGCACAAAGGACTTGGGTGAGCAGGCCATGGGATGACTTGAGTCGTCTAATAAATTGGGGGGTGCAACTGGTAACTATAGCAGGTGATCCCATTTGCCCGCTAGTTCTGGCAGCCTCTTGGTCTCTGAGGCACTTACAGCGGGTTATGGCTTTGATAGGTTTGTCATCCTAGCAAACTATGGACCCTGGGGGTTGGAGCCAGAGCTCTGTTGATAAAGTGCTTGCCGCACATGCTTGAGGACCTCGGTCTGATCCCTAGCCCCTCGTTAAGTAGCCAGGCAGGGTGGCATGCCATTGCAATCCCAGCACTGGGGATGTAAAACTTGGAGGGTTCCTGGGACCCCCTAGGCCCAGTCCTTCTAGCTGATGAGCCCTAGGTCCCAGTGAGAAATCCTACCTCAGTAATAACAATAATAACAATCAATAATAATAATAATAATAAAGGTAGCCAGTTCCTAAGGAATGATACCATATGCACATCCACACACCTCTGCAATCCCACACACGAGCATCCATACACCCCTGCATGTGTGTATACACACACACACACACACACACACACACACACACACACACACACAGAGGCAGGAAGAAAAAGGAATCATGAATCCTGATTGGGGAATATAGAAAATGATTTTAGAACTTCTCCTGGCTTCCCAGGAAAACCTGAGCTGTTGGAAGGTTCCAGGTTGTTCCAGAAGCACCATCACTGTTTACAACCTCGTTGCTGTGAGTCACCTCCAGTCACTCTAAAGTTAGCCTTTCCCTGGCTCCAGGCCTTCATACTTGCTCTTCCTCCCCTGGAATGCTTTCCCAGCTCAGGGTTCCACAGCTACCTTCTTCGATGTGAACGGTACCTCCTTCCAGAGGCCTTCTCTTCCCTCCTGCTTCCTGTTGGGTCTGTGCTGCTTTCTTCACAACACTTACCAGCCATTTACATGCATGCTCATTGCTTATGACCCGTGAGGAGACCCTGTGTTCGGTTTGCCCTTCTACCTCAGCATTGTGGAGATGGAAGGCGATCAAGTACTTGTGCAAAGACTAAATTGGGTTCCCCAGCTACGGTTTTCTTAGATCCCTGCACCTTGTCCTACCTCCCACACCAATAAAAGGTCAAGCAAGGCCTGCAAAGTGTGCATACTGCTCCTGCAGAGGACCTAAGTCCAGTTCCCAGCTCCCACATGGGCAGCTCACAACTACCTGAAACTCCAGCTGCAGGTGATCCGACTCCCTCTACTGGCCTCCGAAGGACCTGCACTCATGCACAAACCCACACTCACATGCACAAACCCACACTCACATGCACAAACCCACACTTAATTAAAAAATGAAAACATCTTTTTTAAAAAATAAAGGATATGCTTCCACAAATAAGCTCAGCTTCCTGGAGTATTTTCCCCATACAGACCATCTCTTAGCCCAGGCCAACACAACTGGCCACTGAAGGGCTTCTAAATTCTGCACGGCCTTCTCAGGACCACCAACCTAGGACCAGCTAAGTCGCTTATCTTTTTTTTTTTTTTTTTTGGAAGGCTAAATGAGCTGGGAAAAGATTCCTTGGTATCATCTTCAAATACAGGCAAGCGCTCTAACACCGAGCTACACCCTGGACCCTGCTATTTTTACAAAGAAAAGAAATGTCATCATGTAACATGTTCCCAAGAACTTGCAATCTGGCTTAATACTCCTCCTGGCCCAACTACTCATCTTCGGGGAAAATAAAACACAGCATCCTCAAGTATCCATCTACAAGCTTAACGCAACGTCCTAAATTAAATGCCCAAGACTCTGTTGCAAGCAGGCGGCACAACTATTCTAATATCGAATCCCAGAGCATATCTTGCACGCAGGATGCAATAGAATGAATGAATGAGCCGTCTCGGTTCCACACACCCTGGCGCTCCCTATGAGGCCACACCGATCCTACAGGACGCTTGGGCTCAAGCGGCGTCCCCAGGCCGGTCCAGGGCCGCACCCCGCCCACAGGGGAAGCCTCTCTGGCCAGGCTTGCAGGGCGGCAGGGTAGCGACTGGGCGAGCAACCCCTTCGTTTACCTGTCAGACACTTCAGCAATCACGGCCTCAGCTAATCCACCCCAGCCAATCACTGGCGCGGCGCGGGCGGCACGTGACTTCCGGCCGGCTCAGCCGAGTGGACTCGGCGCTAGGACCCAGGCACGGCAACGTCTGCCTCTGGTCGGCGACGGTCCGCCCCCCTGCCTCCGGATTCAGCCAATGGAAGGCCGTGGCTCCGCAGGGACCAATGGCAAGGAAGCGCGGAGGGGAGGGGGGGGGGCCTGGCGGTGGCGTCACTGGGCGGGGCGGAGCGTGCGGCGGGTCACGTGGCTGGCGCGGCTGCCGCGGGGAGGCCGGGCCGTGTGCGGAGCGAACTGGGGGGTCATGCCGCGGGGTCGTCTCTGCGCCTGCGCCGCGCCGGGATGCTGAACCTCGCGGCGCTGCTGTGGCGCCGGCTGCTGCGCAAGCGCTGGGTGCTCGCCCTGGTTTTCGGGCTCTCGCTGGTTTACTTCCTCAGCAGCACCTTCAAGCAGGTGAGCGCCTGCGCTCGGGACCTCTGTCCCTCGGATCCTTCTTCCTTCTCCAGCCCTCCTCCCCCCCAGATCTCCTCCCTATCTTCCATCCTCCTGTAGTCCTCTCTCCTATCCCCCAGCTCTCCTTCCTCCCACCCCCCACCCCCGTCTTCCATCGGCTCTCCTCCCTCTGATCTTTAGTCCTCCAGCCCTCCTCCCTCTGATCCTCTGTCTTCCTCTGCCCTCCTTCAGCCCCCTCCCGCCCTCCGTCCTCCACCCCCTCCTTCCCCTGATTCTCTGCCCTCCTCCCTCCCATCCTCCGTCCTCTTCTGCCCTCCTCCCACCCTCTTCTCTCCCACTCTCCGTCCTTCTCCAACCCTCCTTCCTTGATCCTCGGTCCTCACACTTCCTCCCTCCGACCCTCGATCGACCCTCTGTCCTCTCTTCCTCCTCTGGTGCTCCCTGCAGTCCTCCCCCTTGTGGCCCTTCTGCCTAGGATGTGCAGCCATTCTGTCCTTCCCTCCAAGCCTCAGATTCTCTTCTTTTCAGTCCTTGGATCCTCCAGTACTCCCTTTGGTCCTCCCTCCACCCCCTCCTCCTTCAATCTGTGCTCTGGTCCTCCACCTCTGGTCCTCCACCTCTGGTCCACCTCCCTCTGATTATCTGGTCCTCCTCTCTCCTGTCCTCTGACTCTTCCCTCCTCGCCTCCTGTGCATTGAAGGCTGTGTGGAGGGTCAGAAAGGGGAACATCCCACTCCAGGTCTTTGTACAACACCCCTCACCCCCCACCCCCGGGAAAGGGACTCAGACCTGTGCCCAGCCATTTGTCCTCTGGCACCCTCCCTGCTCTGCACCCAGGCCTCTTGATGGACAGGTGGGCAGGAGGTAGAGATGGCTAAGGCCAGGAAGTGGCCGAGGGCTCTGTGCTGTGTCCCCCTGGGTGACCCAGCAGGCTCCTGGAGGTGCCCCCTTTGGTGCACACCTTGGTTGGGTGGATTTTTTTTCCCCTCAACCTTCTCTTTTCACTTTTATCCCAGGTAAGAATTCCTAGAGAGCTGGAATCCGCTCCCCCCCCCCCCCCAGATCTGTTTCCTCCGAAGCCAGGAGCACTGATAGTCACTGCTGAGCTTTGCTGTCCTGGTGTCATGACGGGGCCTTTGGCTAGTAGGTGACTAAAGTCTCTGGAGATGTGCAGAACCTATGTGGGACTCAAGCCCTGTGTGGGTGGGATGAATCTGTGTTCTTAGTGTGGGCTACTGAAACACCACGTGAACTCTGGTGGCCTAAACGACACACATGCATCCTGGCAGCTGGGAGGTCCCAGGCTCGGATGCTGACAGATTCTGCTTGTGGTGGGCGCCCCCTGGCCGACTTTATTCTTACATAGTGCAGCATGCACATCAATTCACAGCAGGGTAGCTGCACACAACTCGGTTGTTGGCCCTGGGACTCTGTCACATGCGGTCACCTGTGAAATACAGGTCTTAAAAGTGGCTGGTAGGATGTACTGTCAGGTTGTGAAGTGGAAAGCACACTTCTGCACACCTGGCCATGCCTGTCAGCCTCTGCTTTCAACTCTGGTTCTTGGAGCATTCTCCTGTGCGGCTCTGGGAGCACTCTCCTGTGCGGCTCTTGGAGGACTCTCCTGTGCAGCTCTGGAAGCACTCTCCTGTGCGGCTCTTGGAGCACTCTCCTGTGCGGCTCTTGGAGGACTCTCCTGTGCGGCTCTTGGAGCACTCTCCTGTGGGGCTCTTGGAGGATTCTCCTATGTGGCTCTTGGAGCACTCTCCTGTGCGGCTCTTGGAGCACTCTCCTGTGGGGCTCTTGGAGGACTCTCCTGTGCGGCTCTTGGAGCACTCTCCTGTGCGGTTCTTGGAGGACTCTCCTGTGCGGCTCTTGGAGCACTCTCCTGTGGGGCTCTTGGAGGACTCTCCTGTGGGGCTCTTGGAGGACTCTCCTGTGGGGCTCTTGGAGCACTCTCCTGTGCGGCTCTTGGAGCATTCTCCTGTGGGGCTCTTGGAGCACTCTCCTGTGCGGCTCTTGGAGGACTCTCCTATGGGGCTCTTGGAGCACTCTCCTGTGGGGCTCTTGGAGCACTCTCCTGTGGGGCTCTTGGAGGACTCTCCTGTACGGCTCTTGGCGCACTCTCCTGTGCGGCTCTTGGCGCACTCTCCTGTGCGGCTCTTGGCGCACTCTCCTGTGCGGCTCTTGGAGCACTCTCCTGTGCGGCTCTTGGAGGACTCTCCTGTATGGCTCTTGGAGGACTCTCCTGTACGGCTCTTGGAGGACTCTCCTGTACGGCTCTTAGAGTACTCTCCTGTGGGGCTCTTGGAGCACTCTCCTGTGTGGCTCTTGGAGCACTCTCCTGTGGGGCTCTTGGAGCACTCTCTTGCAGGCCATCCGGATTGCTTTTCCTAAGACTTGTTTGTCGCCACATTGTAGCTAGAGTTTTCCTGCCTGGCCCACAGTCAGGACAAATCTCTCTCACCTGCCAGTCCCACAGCCGCTCAGACCCAACCAAGTAAACACAGAGACTTATATTGGTTACAAACTGTATGGCCGTGGCAGGCTTCTTGCTAACTGTTCTTACAGCTTAAATTAATCCATTTCCATTAATCTATACCTTGCCACGTGGCTCGTGGCTTACCGGCATCTTCACATGCTGTTTCTCATCATGGCGGCTGGCAGTGTCTCTCTGACTCAGCCTTCCACTTCCCAGCTTTATTCTCCTCCTTGTCCCGCCTACACTTCCTGCCTAGCCAATGGCCAATCAGTGTTTTATTTATCGACTAATCAGCAACACATTTGCCATACAGAACATCCCACAGCACTACATCTCTTCCTTTTTCGGGTTTCAGGCTGTTTTCTTCCCGTGTGGCTTGGCCTCACAGCCCTTAAGTGGAGCCGAAGGCTGGGTGTTGTTCATCCGTGTCATACTCAGATCCGGTGGCCATTTTACTCCTCTGCTGAGCCGAGTGTGGATGTGTGATGAGGAACTGGACCTCTCTGAGGAGTTGTGGCGTGTGACCGTGTTGTAGACCAGATTTTCAAGTTGAGGTTCTCCCTGTGACGAGGTGTCAGAAGCAAACCAGATAAAGCTCTGTGCGCACTGTTTTTAAAAACAGGAGCATGCAGGGCGGGGGTGGGGAGGGAGGTGGCGCTCACTCTTTTGATCCCAACACTTGGGAGGGCATGGCAGGCAGATCTCTGTGAGTTCGAGGCCAGCCTGGTCTACAGAGCGAGATCCAGAACAGGTACCAAAACTACACAGAGAAACCCTGTCTTGAAAAAACCAGTGTGTGTGTGTGTGTGTGTGTGTGTGTGTGTGTGTGTGTGTGTGTTTTGGCTTCCCTAGAGAATCCAGGTCTCCATGCTCCTTTGGTGGCCATCCAGCAGGGGTCTGATGACCTCCACCCTGTAATCTGTGTTCTCTGCCCTCTTCTTCGGGCTGCTCACTCATTCTAGTCCTTCACTGACTGGCGTCAGGGGGCCAGGATGAGCACAGCCCCTGTGGAGATGGGTTCACCTCCATCCCTTCTTCTGCTTGGGTTCTGGCCTTGGTACATATGTAGTTCCCGTCCTGTAGTCTCTGCTCGCTGTGGGATACTGGCCGCACAAGCATGAAATTTGTATTGTGTTAAGCTCCTGGGGGCTTTGCTTTTCAGAGTAACCTAGCCGATCAGCTTCTAGAATATGGTCAGCACACCCCAGGAGAGCCCCCCTTTCAAGAAGTCTGAGAGTCTGAGTGGGAACACAGATCGTGGTTCTGAGCACCCGAGAACAGGGACCACAGCATTTGCCCCAGACCAGTAGTTCTCAACCTGTGTGTCGCGACCCCTCGGGAGTTGAATGACCCTTTCACAGGATTCATCTCAGCCCATCAGAAAACACTGACATTTACAATACCATCATAACAGTAGCAAAATTACAGTTATGAAGTAGCAGCGAAAATAATTTTATGGTTGGGGGCGGGGGTCACCACAACATGAGGAACTGTGTTGAAGGGTCGCAGCAGCGTTAGGAAGGTCGAGAACCACTGCCCTAGAGCACGTTCTCTCCCACTGCTTGGGCAGGTCCAGACGTTGGTTCGCTGAGAAGGATGTAGGGAAAATGACTAATTTTTAAGCTCCTGTCTGCCCTGTGCTGAGACAGGAGCAGGGTAGCCTCTGCTGCCTTCTGCGGACTGAAGTCTGAGTTACAGGCTAAGCTAGCCACCCCCACCCCTGCCTCCAGTCTCATCTAGAAGACGGAGTCACCGGTAAATGGCTTGTTCTTCTCAGACTTTGGCTTGAGTGGAGAGAACCCTGCTCCCTCACAGAGGTGGTCTGACGTTCTCCACTGCCAGAGATAAAACGCAAGCTTCCAAGTGAAAAATCAGATTTTTTGGAAACTGTTTCCTCCCCCAAGGCTTTTTGACTTCCATTAGCTATGAGGTGAACGAATTGGAGTTTGGGGCTCTAAGGTGACAGAAGTGTGTCGACGACGTTTGGCAGCTCTGTGAAGATCTGTTCACAGAGCAGGACATGAGTGACAGTCCATGGGGATCCTGTAGGCTGTGCTCAGGGTCCCAGTGTGCCCGTTGAGGCACAGTTCACCTTCCGAGTGGCTGTTCCCCTGAGTGTGCAGCCCCAGTGGTTTGAGTAAGGTCACAGTGTGGTAGCCGCTACCTCAGTCACCATTTGGGGCGCTATCACTGACTTGCCCCTCCTCCTCAACCCTAAACAATCTCTAACCTACTTCCTGTTTAAAAAAATTATTTTTTTGCATTTTTATTGATTTTGTGTGAGTGTGTGTTCGTGTGGTGTTGGGGAAAGGCAGGAGTGTGCATAAGCCACATTGCTCATGTGGCGCTCAGGACAGCTTTGGGGAGTCAATTCTTCCTTCCCATCATGTGAGTCCCCAGGAACTGAACTCAGGTTGTCAGGCTTGGAGGCAAGCTCCTTCACTCGCTAAGCCATCGCAGTGGCCCACTGGGTCTTTGAATCAAACGCTGGTCCTCAGGCTTGTGTGACAAGCGCTTT